ACTGGACCTTATTGCTGAATGCAGGATTTAGGGTTTTTGAAGTATGCCTGGCAACAGGACTTTCACAATCTGCAGCATCCTGAAATATCTCATATGGCTGCATGTACTATTTCATGCACAAGACTACAGGTGGGTATTTTGGATGCGAGTCCCTGTGGATGTATCACAGGAGCAGGTCAGAACCTCTGACCACAGAGAGGAAAGGTTAGCTGCTTTTGTGTTCCACATTGTGCCCAATTGACAGGACAAACACCAAGTTTGCTGCTTGAGTGTAAGCTCAGAGATCCCTGTGTTGGATTGAAATAATTTCTCAGATTTATGATGTGTATATATAGCTGGTGATACAGCAAAAAAACCCTGTTCTAGACACTACGGGATCAATACTAAAGGTGCAGGTGAATACTCTCTTAAATGACTGTGGGAAACAAAATAAATCTTAGTTTTGCTGCTTCAGAAAAATGAAATTGTCAAGGTATTTAACTGAAAGAAGCAGAAGTGCTAACTGATCTCAGTACTGAGGATCAAGCTCCAGGTGCTGCAGGACACTGCATATCCAATGTGAAAAACTTTGGGTCCTTTGAACTGACAAAAATTATCTTTAATTTAGATTATATGTAATAATTTTTTATTAGAGCTGAAACTTGGTTAAGTATAATCAAGTAGCTATTGTGTAATTTAAATGGCCAGTGATTGTTATTTCGTAATAACAACTTACATTTATATAGTGCTGTATATCCCAAAGGGATCCCAGATGATTTTAAAGTCTCAACAATAAAATGCACAACAAAGTGAAACATTAAATATAATTACAGCATTACTAGAAAATATGAGGATATTAAAAATCTGGCTGTCTGTGGCTTGCTTCTTCTTTCATTTGAATTCATTAGCCAAGCTCACTCAGAGTGCAAATGGATTATTAGTGATTCTGCCATATCTGATTTTGGAAATTTTCTGTACAAGCATGTCCTCTATACTGGAAAGGTAGTAAAAGCTGTAAATACCCTTCTGTTATTTTTGGAGTCTTTTGAGGGGCTAGAGTTGTTTGCTTTCTTGTTTGGGTGGTTGTTGTACACCCTCAGGATGGTTTCTTGTTAGATGGGAGGAGGCTTAACAAATGCCACATGCCTGTAACATCAGAGTGGGAAGTCAGAGACCAGTTCTTTTTTCATGTAAAGTCTTGAAGCAGTTTAAAATTCAACCTTGTAATTTTTGGGTGCTCCATGCTGACACTTCACTGAGGTGAACAGTGCAGTTTATGCCTCCTGAGCTGCTCTTCCAGGCTTTTGCATGTTGAAGTTTCCCCACCAAAAGGGTTTTCAAGCACTGGAACAGGGTGCCCAGGAAATTTTGGGGTCACCACCCACTGAGGGTCTTACAGGATGTGTAGACATGGCACTCAAGGGCAGGATTTAGTGGTGGATTGGCAGTGTTAGACCACTAAATCCAGTCCTTAACCTTCAGGGTCTTTCCCAGTCCAAATGATTTGATGATTCCAAGTGCCCAGCTTTGTACTTGAAATCCACATTGCCAGTGCTGAAGGAGGTGAAAACCTGAGGAATGTTAGTGTGTCGTACCACAGCACCTTAGGGGAAGACTCCTGGAGCTGCAGGTGGGAGCTGGGGGAGCTCTGCTGCAGCTGGCACCCTCCAGACAAGAGGCATGGAAACCATCCCTGCATTTTAGAGGTGTTGTAAAGGACTTCCAAACCATCATAATGAGATTGACAGAGTTGTTTGGGAGGGGAGTCACTGAAGTAATGGGACTAATTTCATTGCTGACCACAAAAACGGAGCCAGGAAGGCAAATGCTATTTTTGTGGATGGGTAATATAGGTCACTTGCATTGTGTTGTTTCTTTTCTAATAAATTGTAGTCTAATTCTGAAATATTTCTAGAAACCCTGAATTACTGTTGAATTATGAAGTATTTTCAGCTGCTAAGGCAAGTTGTTTGCACCTGAAGATAAAGACTTATTGCTATTAAACATAAATTTAGGACTATGTAAAATGATATGTAAGCTACTTTTTTTTTCACTTGTTTGCCAGAGTCCACTGAGATGGTTTTCAGTTTCTGAAAATACTAATTTATCCCTGCCTTTTGGCCACAACATATGAAAACAGTCTACTTCAAATAATTTAGTCTTAAAGCCATAGTTCTTTCTCAATATCTGAGCTTTTCTTAAGTTTCTGTTTTAACACTCATGATGATTGTGTGAAAGTTGTTTGCAGATACTGTCTTGTTTTTCAGATTTGTAATGAAGCACGAGGGATTTTTTCATTTTGTGGCAAAAGTTTTGCATGGATCTTACTGTGAAGCTTTCACAATGTCTTTAAGTTGTTTTATTTTTGGGAGCTGGAAGAAAGGGGAATAGTGACTTAGAGACAAGTTTTTCTGCTCCATTTCCTCTATGTTGCAGATGATAAATCTCAAATACAAATGGTGCTACACCCAAGGCACGGAACTCTAATTTTTGATCCTACATGCACTGGTGGCCTATTTACTAATCTTTAATCACCAATAAATTTGTTGCAATACAGTTAAGAGCCTAATCTCTGAGTGATATTGAGCAAACACTCTCAAATAAAAGTGGACCTTCTGTAATTCCTTTCCACAGTGTTGTGGACCATGCCTTTCCTGACGCCACTACACCCAAGCACTGGGAATCAAAACTGCATGTAACTCATAGGGAAGTGCTGGGAAAATGTTGTTTCTTTCTGAAACTGTATTTAAGAGTAGGGTTAATAATGAGGATAATAATAATAGCACTTGTTATCTTTAGACCTTGGGAGAGCATCCAAGTCTTTTCCAAGCTGGACAGTGTCCTGTGTGTCCTGCTCTGTTCAACACAAGCCTGTTATAAATGTTCATATCTGAAAGACAAATTGACCTTCCATATGGGAAGCTGTAGCTTTTCACTTGCGGCTTCCCAGCTTTGTAGAGAAACTCCCTCTTATTCTGGTTAAAGTTGTTGTACATTTTGAAGAGTCTGGATATTTTATACTGGATGAGAATCTAGCCAAGAACATCATCTTCTCTGGAAAGAAATCAGTATTCTTCCTTAAAGAGGCTTGAAATTTTTTTTTATGTTTTAAGACTTCACTCAAAAGAAAAAAGCTTAAACATGTCTCTTTTTTTTTTTTTTTTAATGGTCTCATTATTAGTTGGAGTTTAAGGACTGAAATAGCAATTACTAATCAAAGTTTACCTGTGGGAGCAGAAACTAGATGGAACCTTGTTTCACTTATTTAAATGTAAATCTCTACAATTTGAGATTAAATAGATCCCCCCAGGTTACCAGTAGTAACCTTCTTTGTGCCTGTAGGCCATCTACTAAAAAGTGTAAAAATACATGTACATGTTGGTGACAGAGGTGTTACAAATATGTGACTGGCCTTGTTCTACGCATTGTTACACATTGGTGGATTTTGTGGAGTTAGCAGGGCAATGAAGGGCAGACTGGATGGAATAGTTTTTTATTTGTAATAAAACAGATTATGTTCAAGTAGTTTGAAATCTCAGCGGTGAGGAGTTGGGTACAATATCATCATTGCAGTGCTTCTCGAACGAAACTAGAAGTAAATACAAGAAAGATTAACTTGAGTTGGAGCTTTAATTTTTATTAAAGTTTGTGGTTTTAGAACAGAGACAGAGAGTGACATGGCATAAGGAATGGCAGTACATTAGTGAAAGTAGGTGTCTGAAAGAAACTAGTCTGTGTTTGTGGGAGCATGAAACTATTGAAAAGAAACTGCTACTTTCACACTGTCACATAAAACTCCCGACAAGCCTGGCAATGAAGTGTAGAGAAACTCTCCCTTGTTTGTCCAAGAAAAACAGTGCATGCAAGAAAAAATAGTATAAATGGCTCTGGCTTTAGTTTCTGTAGTGTTTGATACCAGTCTTGAGAATCTAAATGAGAGCAGGAAAGAAAGTCCTGGGATTTTGTTATGAAAACTTCTTTCAAAATAATTTTGCAAAAGACCTTTAAAATGGTGAAGAAATCTGGTAGAACTAATCTCAGGAGTGGGAACAACTGTGAATTATTACTGCAAATTCTATAAAGCATCTCCTTTGTATGTTTATAGCATGCAGAAAATATAAATAATAGCTTATTAGTAGTCTAGAGTGAGAGCTCTCTGTTTTTGCCCCATATCAGATAAATCTCCTACTGATGGATCAAACATTTAATCAATCTGGTAACATGGCCTTCAGCACTATAGTATCTGAGTGCCTCCCAGTGTTGGAACACTCAGTAATGCTTGGTTTTTCTCCAGTTACTCTGTACTCCTTAATTTGATTTTGTTCTTAGTTACACTGATGTAAATCTAAAACTGCTCCACTAATACTGGTAAAGGAAGCTACCATTTATGAGCCTGAAGAGCAAAATCTATCCTCCCCACCTTGCAATTCCTCAGCTATTCTTAAGTTGTACCATTAATATTTATTTGACTTATTAATCTGCTCCCTCATTTATTTCCCCTGTTCTTGCTGCATCTTTTTTTTTTCTTCTGTCACTTTGGGTATGATCCAAAGTCCACTGAAATGGCTGTCAGTCTGACTGGAGTTTGGTTTCTCACTTTTCCCTCCCTCCTTTTTTCCCCTCTGCAGCTCCTGAAGTGTTCTGTGTGAGTCTGTGGTCTGATTAATTAAAGTTACATGTATTACTACAATTTTGTGAATAAGCACCTTGCTCATTACTGGAATCCTAATCCCCAAATTTTCCTTAATAGCCATTGTTTCCCTTAGCTTAGTTTTCCTTTAATGAGAGCTCCCTTTCCTCCTTGTGCCACAGGTGCTGGTCTCAGGTTCAGCATCTCGTATTTTAGGGGAAGCTTTGCTATGAGCCTGACCTGAGTTCTGTAGAAAACTCAGTAGAGAAAACCCCACTTCTCTGAGATTTTTGCTCAGGACACTTGTAGTGAATATGAAAAGGGTTTTGAATGAGGAAGTTGTCACTTGTCCTTTGATTTTTCTTTTTTTCTTTCCCCTTGCTGCCATCAGCAGTTGGAAGCAGAAGAAAATAAAGAGTTGAGAACTGAAGGTGAGAGACTTGGCAGGTAAGAAGTGTGTTTTGTTCCTTGCTGGGGAGGCATTTCTGGAGATGCTGATGCGAACTGGCAGCATGTTGGATCCACTCTAAAAGATGACGCTGGTCCAGGGCATACACAGTCCAGCTCAGTTCCTTGATCCTTCAGTTATTGTGTTTCAAAGGCTTTGCCTTGCTGGTTCCTCACCTGCAACAGGGGCAGAAAAGGTTCCCTGTGGCAGGAGAGTGCTCAAGGAGAAATGTAGGAAGGGCTTGGGAGTAACGAGCTGGTGTAAAGGTTGGCAGTGTGTGTGAGCTACTTGGACAAAGTTGCCCTGTTTGAGGGTAACAGCTGTGCTGTGTGCACAGCTGGGCTGGTGTTTTCATTATTTCAAGAAATGTTTTGCTAAGGGACTTGTGTGCTATCTGTAGCTTCACTGCTTTATCTCCTTTGAAGCCTCGTTTGATTACTCTCATTTCCTGTTCTACATGGTTTTAAATGGGGTGAAGGTGAAATACAGTAAAAGCAAGATACAACACTTGCTTTCATATAACAACCATGCTGAAAGTACAATAACAGCATTGGAAAGCCAAGCACTACTCACTGGATGACTGCAGTTTGCAAAGACAGTTCCTAAGGGCTTACTTGAGACACGTTTAGGGACAAAAGGCTTTTCATGGGAACAAAAGCTCCAGCCAGGCTGCCAGGTTTCCAACCTTCCTCTGAAGCTTGAAGTACCAAAGTGTTTTTCAGAGGAGGAGCTTGAAGAGTTTTCAGTGTAATATTCTGTACCCCTGTTCCTGTAGAAGCTATCCCATTTCCAAAGCACACAGCCTGAGGCAGTCAGGCTCAGAGATAATTTAGCCAAAATGGCAAAATACCGGTGGGGTTTGAACAACTGCAGGTAGTTGTTTAATCTCTTGTGTGAAGTAATCTTAATAACAGGTATGGCTGCTGATCCAGTCAATTATATAAATTGTCCTGCTGCCTTTCCTGGGCTCTTAGGGAGGCAGAGCTACTGATACCTACGATGTGACTGTGTGTAACTCCAGCACTGTGACCATCTCAGCTCATCCACACAGGGAGGGACTGATATGTTTCTGCTTCTCTGCCTTTTCTCTGTGGCAAACTGTAGTCAGAATCTTGGATTTTCTACCCCCTTCTCTAAATCTGTGAGAATGCATTTAAATTTTAATATTCAGAGCCCCCAACTATGTCAATAGCACTCAGATAAATGGTGCCCTGTTTGAAATTCCCTGCTGGGTGCACCTGTCATGCTTTGTCTGACGTTGGGATAATAAGCTCTATGGGACAGTAAATGCCTCCCTTACTCATCCACACAGCCCTTTAGGCTGCTTTTTAGAGGCTTTGAGCAACATGTCATGGGAAAAATCCCAAACTCTCCTGACTGCGAGTTTGCAGGCATATGGAACAAGCTTGGCTCAAGCTCACAGATCAAAATAAGTTGGGGCTGATAAGAGAATAAATAATTTTCTAATCTGAAACAATCTGGTCCCTTGAACTTCTGAGAAGACTCACCAGTATTATAAATATAGATTTACTTGCAAATTTTTTTGTCTGAGAATAAAGTATTTGTGTTTTCAGTGTGTGCTACTAATTGACAAGCTGGACATATTTAGCTTGGAAGAATTTATCTTCTGCATTTGGACATTTGGGTTGGTTTGGTTTTTTTATTTGCCAGCGCTTTCTTGGTTTTTTGCAGTTTTCAAACCCATATATTGGCGTCTGGTTTTTTTGCTGTGAAGTAACGAGATCTCCAAGCAAACCAGTGGAATGCATCAGGCTGTCTCCCTGTCCCTACTGGGTCATGTGTTTACTATTAAAGCTCTGTTTCTGGGCTTTTTCATAACAGCTTAGTTGTCTGCAGGAACTGGTAGTTAAAGCATGGCAGGCTGCAGGTAATTCTTTAGGCTCAGCCTCTGTTTCCACTGCCTTTTATCATGATACATTCGACTTTCAAATATTATAAGTTATTTTTTCACATTTTGATTTTTGTAGATGTGCCTTCCCATACAATCAGGATAGTGAGTGATTTCTTATTATAGTTCCTGAGCATGTAAACATTATGTTACTCTAAACTCTGATCAAATTTGAACTGGAAGTGCAGGTAAGAATAGAAAGACATGGATCCCACTACAAAGATGTTGCAGTTAGAGTAGTAACAAATGACATGGAAAAGGTGGAGAAAACAGCTGTCAAATACAGCGTGTTTTTGTATATACAAATGCACTTAGAGAGAGAGATATTCCTGCAGTTTAATTTAACATCATAGTAAAAAAAAAATTACAATAGGAAGATCAATGTATAAAAAAATTTGAACCCATGTGGCAGAACTTGTCTTCCTGATAAAAAGGAAAAGCAGACAGAGATTGAAAGAGTGGGAATGTTAGTATTTTTTAATGCATACCTTGTCTTAAAGTCGTTAATATAAATTATTCATCTTTTTTCCAAATAAAGTAGGAATTTTTTATGACTTATCCCTCCATATGATTTTGATGAGAAAGAGTTGAGTATCAGTAGAATTGCAGAAACCTCCTTCACACAAAAGTGGTAAAGCATCTTAGATCTCCGTGGTCTGCAACTTGTACACCCAGTGTGGGCTGGAGAGAGTAGCTCTATGAAATAAGGAGTTTGTCTGAGGTTGTATTTTTGCCTCAGATTTTACTTCCAGTTGGTAAATAATATAAGCCTTCTTGGGCAAATTTTCATGATAATCCCATTTTTTGTTGCAGATACAGTTTTTGTCAACCTGAGAATTTAAGTCTGTTTGTGTGGTGACAATGGGAAGTGGGTTGGGAGGAATTGCTGTTACTGTATTACTTCCCCTCCAAAAAGGTCTCAAAATGAAACCAGTTGCTAAATCGGTTATCTACAAGCTCACAATATTTGCATGCAGTTCTGAACATGGGTGTGAGAGGGAGGAAGTTCCCGTTCTTGCACATCATTTATTTTCTGTGTCATCCTGAACTTTGAGATCTGAATCTCTTACTTGCATTGATGGCTCTGGTTTTGGGGCTTTTTGGGCTAGGTTTTGTAGAAATCCAAGAGTAAGGCTTGTTTGCAAGAATGGCTTCTGGGTGGGTATCTCTGACTGATTGTTAGACCCACCAGGTCTGAAGAGTATCATATTTATGTCAAGGGAGCAGGTCCAAACCATAATGTCATGTTTTATTGGAGTGTTCATATGTGAGTTTGCTTACTGTTATGTCAACTGTAAGGACTCTCACCTAAGAAAGTATTAGGATGTTTTAATAGCACTGAAGAGGCTTGGGATGAGGTTCTTTTTTGTGCCTTCATTTTGTACCCAGCAGTTGTTCGGGTAACTGAGAATCTGTGGGTGAATATTCCCTGACAACACAGGTTAAAATCATGCATATTGTCCACATACCCATGAGAATGGGATAAAACAGGAAATGAAAACTGAAGTAGCTGAGGGCACCAGAAACATGTGTGAAATGTCCTTTCTGCCTGTTCTGACAAATAGAAACTACGGGTTTGTTTCTCTCTTTACAAAAAAAATTAAATGCAACCAAGTCTAGGTTCTTTAATGTAATCTTCATGAATTTGGGTATCATTAGCTAGGGTGGGTGACCATCTTCTTGCTGAAAAATCACAGGCCATGAAAATCAAGTAAACTCCAGAAACAGCCAACTGATCACATGCTACCTCTTCCTGAAAGAAGTCAGAAAAGGCAGCTGAGTTGGGAATGAGAAGTGGCCCCAGAGTCTTGGAGAAATGCTGAAAACCTAGAAATGTCTTTGCTCAATCTGCTTGGGATCTGAAGTTATAGCCCAGTGGTTTACCTCCTTGTTTTTGCCTTCCTCTGTGAACAAGTTCTCCGTGCGCATGGCTGGATCCTTTTTGCCTTGTTAGTTTAGGTCAGAATGCTCCTGGTCAATTTTCTGGTAATGTTTTGGCTTGTTTTTTAGAAAGGGTTTTTCCAAACAAAAAAAATCTGCAATTAAAAAGCCAAGCTGTCCTTGATGATACATGATTCCTCTGCCATTCTCCTATGAACAAGTTTGGGGTTTATTTATATGTGTGCCCTGCACTTGGTACACTTTTTTTTAGGCATATTGTTTCCTTTCTTTCTTTAGATAGTGGGAGTAAGTGAATCAGCACTTAAAAACTCAAGCATTTAATTTGTGCTTCCCTATGACAAGTCCCATTGCTGTTCCCGGTCCAGATCTGCAGGATCTGACTGCTCCTGGTGTGTCTGGGCCAGATGAAGGGCAGGGTTTCTGGAAATCTTTGTTTTTCTTTGCCTTTGAGGCTGTGTGTAGGTGTTCACTTCTTGTTCACTTTTTCTGAAATGAGAAATGCTCTTTATTTTAGGGAAAAAAAATAGTTGAGCTTATTAGTCTTCTCTGCTTTCTATGCTTGTTCAATATTGTCACTTCCACCAGGAGATGTTCCAGCCTACCAGGAGCTGGTGTGCATTTGAACAGTTTGTCTGAGGTGATGAGTTTGGGCTCCTACTGAAGGTGTTGTGGACACCTCAGAACCTGTGAACATCAGCTAGTGAACATTTGTCATGGTTTTCTTTAAGCATCTCTTAAAAGTTAGTTGATATTCCAACAAATGTCAGTTCTGTGGAGCTGTTGAGCTTTGCTAAAATTCAGGATTGATTCAGTGGACAAATCCTGCTGTCTCTTCTTGGCCAATATCTTGACGTAACTTTGAGAAGTTTTTTACTTCCTTTTCTGCTTCTTGATAGATACTTGTTCAAGTAAGGAGAGAGATCACTCCATTTAGCAATTCCAGTTCTGAAGTACAAGTAGCATTTTTGGTGTTTGCTCATGTGAAAAAAATCACAATTTTAAACTTCTAGAATTTTGATCCTTTTAAAGACAAAGATGTTGAACAGATGAATGGGGCCATATGAGTAAGTAAACATATATAAAAATAGAGTGAATTAATAAAGCAAATTGACTTGGCTGTTGTAAGTATGTGAGAAGATAGATGTGCCTGTTTTTCATGTGGGAGTCTTGGTGGTAGTGGAGAGACCA